GCACACGCCTGAGTACCTTGTCACCCACGGTTTTGCGAACATCGAACCTCACATGTGCTTAAGCCGGTACAACTTCACCGTGACTGCCACGGCCAACTCGACACTGCCACCGATCATCAACGCCTTCGAGTATTTCTCCGTCATCTCTACAGCCAACGTTGGCACAGACATTCAGGACGGTAAATATCTACTGTCCCTCAACTAGTTGTGCATACATTTTTTTTGTTCAAAACGAGGGGAAAATCATTGGCCTCTGCATGGAGTGATGCACATAGCCATTAGTTTTATACATGAGATAGATGCCGATTGCTCACTAGGCTTTCCTCGATACAGATAGACATGCTTGTGTGATCTCTGACTTCTACATTTTGTCTTGTTTGTTACCTTGGGTAAAAAAGTTTCTGCTATTGATGGCATCAAGACTAAGTATAGGGTGAAGAGGAATTGGATGGGTGATCCCTGCGCTCCAAAGACTTTTAAATGGGATGGGTTGTCCTGCAGCTATGCTATCTCCGGGCGTCCAAGAATCACAAGAATGTAAGTTTGAATTTAATTCGTGGCCACTCACAAGAAATCAGGAATGACTCTGCATCACCTGAACCATTGTGTGTTCTTAACTACAGAAATATGTCATCTAATGGTTTGAGCGGTGATATATCATCTTATTTCGGCGATCTCAAAGATATCCAGTCCTTGTAAGTAGGAAATTTTAACCCATTTTCACAATGAATTTTCGTAAAGAAGTTCACATATTTGTATGTTTTGCCACCTTTTTTCAGGGATTTGTCATACAACAAATTGACAGGATCAATTCCTAATGTCCTTGCACAACTACCATCTCTTGTGTTCTTGTAAGCAACATTAAATTATATGTTGTCTTTTAACTAAAATCTATTTTTGGTGCCAATGTTTCACGCAAACACTATTTGGCCCATCCAGAGATTTGACAGGTAACCAACTTAATGGATCCATCCCCTCTAGGCTTCTAAAGAGAAGTCAAGATGGCACCCTAACTCTAAGGTTAATCCATCATATCGTACATATATCTCCACCGCCATTTAGTTCTCCAATAGTTGCGTTGACATTTGCCTGGTCAAAATTGCTAATGGTCTCTTCTTCTTGATAGATACAACAAAAACCCAAACCTTTGCAACAGAAACAGCTCTTGCCAGCATACCAAAACCAAAAAGAATTATAAGCATGCCGTCTATATTGTTGTTCCGATAGTTGCAGTTGCTGTGATTGGAGCACTTGTAGTACTTCTGATTCTCATAGTGAGGAAAAATAAAGGTGACACACGTCAATAACACTACATCGATAGTTCTGCACTACTGCATCAGTGCAAGCAATAGTGAGTAATAGTGGTTCACTTCTTGAATTTCAAAGGAGCAACAAGGAGGAGCAAAGGACAAGACCATCAACACCTGGACAACCACCGATTCACGTACAAGGAGCTACAGACCATAACAGACAACTTCAAGATAGTACTTGGCCAAGGAGGGTTTGGAACTGTTTATGATGGCTTCTTGCAGGATGGTACTCAAGTGGCAGTGAAGTTGCGGTCTCAATCCTCCAGTCAAGATGTAAGAGAGTTTTTGACAGAGGTAAAGTACTATCAACTAGACATATTTGTTAAGTAAATTTAATCAGCCAATTTTGGAAACTATGACACTTTTCTTCCTATTCATGGCCAGGCTCAGACATTAACGAAGATTCATCACAAGAATCTTGTATCATTAGTTGGTTATTGCAAGGATGGGGTGTATTTGGCTCTTGTCTACGAGCATATGTCTGAAGGAAATCTAGAAGAGAAACTCAGAGGTGTGCTAGTCCGTATGTAAGAAGAGCATATGGACTCTATGTCTCAAGTTCCATAGTACTAATGCCAGACAAACTTATGCAGGGAGAGATTGCAATGATGTACCCTTAACCTGGAGACACAGGCTTTGCATTGCACTACAATCCGCACAAGGTATACTTATTCCGATATAGAATATTGTATACTTCCTCTAATCTGGAATATGGTGTGCCCTTTGTTATTGTTGATCTTTATGCTTTGCTAAATCTTTACATATGTTGATGTGTGACTGATATATCGTCACTGTCAAATATGATGTGCATGTAGGGCTTGAGTATTTGCACAAGTCGTGCAGCCCGCCCTTCGTGCATCGTGACGTCAAGACATCAAACATCCTACTAAATAAAAATCTTGAGGCCAAAGTTGCCGACTTTGGCTTGATGAAGGCTTTCAATCATGATGACGATACACATATATCCACGGCCCGGGTGATTGGAACACGAGGCTACCTCGCCCCTGAGTAAAAACTGATACCTAACTAATTACAGTCTTTTGGTTGCCTGCTTGGAGATTATTTTGCTTAGTATATCCTCATGTGACGTACTCAGATCAACTGTAATGCAAGTGCATCTCATACATGTTTTATGTACATACGCAGGTATGCAAGGGCCCTACAATTGAACGAAAAAAGTGATGTATATAGCTTTGGGGTCGTGCTACTGGAGGTAATTACAGGTCAACCCACCATCCTTCAATCTACAGAGGTCATCCATATCGTCCAATGGGCACGTCAGCACCTTTCGGGAGGCAACATCGAGGAAGTGGTTGATGCCCGCATGCAAGGTGACTACAATGTGAACAACATGTGGAAGGTCGTGGATCTTGCGCTCAAGTGCACCGAGCATGACCCCATGCAACGGCCCACAATGACTAATGTGGCTTCCCAACTGCAATATTGCCTTGAGTTAGAGGGTGAAAACCAAACTAGACATAATGCTAACACTACCTTCTACACGATGAAAGATAGCAGTGGCGTCCGTGATTTACCGATGATGTAAGGTCATCATCGCATTGACATGGTCACATTATTTGTTGGGATGGCCCAACATGATCATCAGTCCCGCACTCTTGGCGCATGACAAACATTTCATGTATTATTCACTAGGTTTTTTTAATATTAATCCCATACTTGTTCTTCGTTGACACTAAAAGATTTTCTATTTCATTTTGCTACCTCTCCGTCGAACATGTTTTATTTCATGTTGTTATCATTAGCTAAAACTTAGTCCAAAGTGCGCAAACATGTTCAACTGACCCATGACCTAAGTATTCTAGCAAGTATGGCACAGTTAGTGAATGAGAGCCACAATTTTAACCACTGATTGCTTTGAGCGCAGAAAATCATTCATGTTATTGGAAAAAAGGTTGAAAGTCTTCTTTAGAAATAACAACAAAATTGTACTCCCTTTGTAAACAAATATAAGAACATTTATATCACTATTTTAATGATCTAAGCGCTCTTATATTTCCATACAGCGGGAGTAGTTGTCTTACTAGTAAAGTGGTTGACCATATACTTATATATAAATGTACTCTGTACGTCAAGCAAGATCATTTAAGATCTTGAATAGAGAGTAGTCCATATACATAGATCCAATGTCGATTCTACTACTAGGAGGGCTTCAATAGGCTTAAGCCTACCCTCCAAAAATCCTATTTCAGGTAAACATACCACTTAACAATTATATTGAGGTGCTTTACATGCAAAAATTGCAATGCATTTGCTAATTAGGCTTAGGAACTTGATGTTTTGAGCCTACCCTCTGTCATCAATTGAACAACAAAGTCCTCCTCATGCGACATCTCACCTCCGCAACACCGCGCTCCACCTTAAATGAGATGTTCCTCTAGCTCTAGACAAACATGTAGTTGTGCTACCACCTAGATCACCGTGGGCTGAGTGAGAGCTTGCGCGGTGCATTTCAGCGTGACATCAACGGCCTTGCAGACACTATTGATGACATAGTCACCTTGTATACTATTGGTTGCAGGCTGAGTTAGAGCTTTGCGCAGTGCATTTCAGCGTGACATCAGCGGCCTTGCATACACTATTGATGACATAGTCACCTTGTATACTATTGGTTGCGGGCTGAGTTAGAGCTTGCGCGGTGCATTTTAGCATGACATCAATGGCCTTGCAGACACTATTGATGACATAGTCACCTTGTATACTATTGGTTGCCCCATGAAAGATGTCACCGGCCCATTGGATACTATTGGTTGGTTCTGAGGATTCCAGGATGGGCGGTTGCCCCATTATAACTTCCAATAACACTACGCCAAAGTTGTACATGTTATTTTTCTCGGTTAGTTGTAGGGACGTTGACGGAGGTGGTCAAGCGGCATGGGCGTCGCAATGACCTTTGCCAACTTTGTGGTGTCCCAGAGTTTGGGGCTCGCATCTTCTTCGCCTACCGTGCTGCCCACTACCTTTGGAGCTTTGTCTGTGAGATTCTGGGTCTGAGTGGGAGGCGGTCTTCTTGTCCGCACGGCGGCGACGGCTGCCACCACCAACTCAGATGCGGCTCTGAAGGCAGGCAGGCGATTGTCGCGCTCGCGCGGCGGCGGTTCAAGGAGGACGACGTGGCGGCCTACGCGGGGGTGAGCGGTGACCGCAACCCCGTTCATCCTGGATGACGCCTTCATGCGCTGGGCGAGTGGGTTCCAGCACGGCCGCATGATGCACGGCATGCTCGTCGCCTCCCTCTTCCCCGCCCTCACCGCCTCCAACTTCGTACGCTCTCTCTCTCCCTGTCTTTGGCATTCCATTGAACAGGTGTTTTGCGTGGCGGGTCGATGGGAGCCCGCCTGATCTGACCGGTGCTTCTTCGTGTTGATGCAGCCTGGGGCCGTGTACATGAGCCAGTCGTTCAAGTTCGTGGCGCCGGCGTACGTCGGAGACGAGGTGGTCGCGCAGGTGCAGGCACTCCATATCAAGGCCGCCGACGCAAGGCACATGTAGTACTACTAGCACCAATTTGCATCTCGTCTTCTTTCTTGCCTTGTGCTTGCTGACAACTAATGGTAATATCTGTTGGGCAGCGTCAAGTTCGCCACCAAGTGCTTCACGGATGATGAGGAGACTCTGGCCATTGACGGCGAGGCCATGGCTTTTTTGCCTACGCTGCAGCTCAGCACAGAGGGGATGGAGTGACATGTTTGTTCATTAGACGCTACCGAAGCAGATGCTACGATTGATCAATTTGGAATGGGGTGATTCTTATCTCATGATGAACCATTTCGCCTTCACAAAAGCTTGAGGCCTTAGGGACATTAGACAGCAATTTTGTTAGTCATGTATATAGTATTGTACCTTGCAGTTTTCCTGTAATGTTATGATTGACAGCAAGAGCAATGATCACTTCAACTTTCTGAGGAAATGAGCACATTCAATGGGCTGGTTGATCATTCTGACTGATCGGAAGAAGCTGCTGCAGCAATCATTGTGCTTGTGATCAGGACATATTGTACATGTTTCCATCAGACTACACACAAATCTGTCCTTGGGTCTTCTGTAAGGGTGGAAAACCCTATTGGTAAATAAATTAATTCATATGAGTAGCATATCATTTTTGAATCATATCACTAAGGGCATGCATGACCAATGCATAACTCTAGGGTGATGCCCGGCAGCCCATGTAGGATCGGATATCAGGGTGTACCGGGATTCTTGTCAGGAGGCAGGTGCTTGGGAAAAAAAGTGTGGTCCGATGCATAGAACTGAAAAAGTTGAAGTGGAGAGTAGAGATTCATGTGTAGTGAGAGTCTACTTTCTATTCTTTGATGAGGCCTACTAGTAGTAGCTTGCGTTGAAAAGAAAAAATCAATATAAATACCTCAAGCTACTTTTTGTTAGGGGGCATATGCCCCCATTGTACATGCCCTAAGTTGGAATGTAGTTATAACATGCCTATGTTAGCTATATGGACAAGATAAATTAAAGATTTCTACTTGCATATATCCTGTAGATATTTGTGCTCTCACTATCTTCAACCCTGGCTAGAGGGTGTCGACACTAGGAGCATGCAATATTTGTATTCCGATGGATGGATGGACATATTATTTGTTTGCATCAACTTGTGGCACCACCGCCACATTAACAAGGCAAACAAGTATTAATCTTGATAAACCATAAATCTTACGATTACTTAGAAACCTAATATAATATACCAGCAACAGTTCTTAAATTTCCAATGTGAAGGGTATGATTAAAGTTCTGGCATTTCTCATGCTATAATTTATAGGTGGTAGTTCCGCGAGAGCAATGTTTCTTACAAATGTGAGTGTTGGATGGATATTTTAAGAGATTTTTTATGATACATCATACTACAAATTTAAGGGGTAGTATTAAGTTAATCCAATAGTTAATATAGGTCGGCTCAAAGTTTAACTCAAGGACAGCTTGGTAACTTTCAATCAGGTTAATGTTTACTCTCGGTCATATGCCGGCACCGTTTTTGGATGGTGCTGCAAGGTCACGTCTCCCTTCTCGCATAAGCATATCTTGTCAGCCAGTCAGTCCGCCATTGTTGTGTCCGGTGGACTCCCTCGACTCATGTTGACCTACGCACAGCCGTCATCTGACGGATCGACATCCACGCCCTCCTCGGCGTCTGCAGTTCGCCGACCCATCTCGCCGTGTCTATGCCGGCCAAAACGCCGCAGTTCCGAGCCGAAGTCCCTCCTAATTGATTCTGACATCCGCACCGGCGAAAACACTACAGTTTCGATCCGAGTCCGTCCGCCATGTAGTCCTCCTAATTGATTCTTGTGTCCACGCCAACCAAAACGCCGCAGTTTGCCGGCCGCGTGGAGTCCATGCTAATGCATTCTCGCTTCCATGCCCGCCAAACGCCATAGTTCCGAGCCGTGTCCGCCGGCCGCGTGGAGTCCTTAAAACGCCGCAGTTCCGAACCGAGCCCGCCGGCCGTGTGGAGTCCAAAACTACTGATGCGAGTCTGCAGGAGACATCCGTTTCTGTGAAATCGAAGTGCACAAGATGGCTGGCGATGATTCTTCGTCATACAATCAGGTCACACGATGAGAAACTTAACTATTTTGGGAGGGAAACTGGCTGCGGGATTTATACCAGTGATTCACCCAAAATGCCCCTAAGGCATGAATATACTACGCAAAGTTGGGTGTAGTATTACCGCATCTAAACCGTTGTCTCACAAAAAATAAACGGTCTAAATTAATTTGATGCACCGTAAAAGGTTTCTATTTTAATTACAGTAACTGGTTCCAGTAACGGTAGTATTTTTTAGGGATACGGAAGCTTCACGTGGCTTGCATAATGTATATATCAGGTTTTTTTTCCTTAGTGGATGTGCTACCATCAGTTTGTTTACCACATTAGCCGCGTGTTGTAAGACATTGACCACTTGAGGTCATGTTCGTAAGCGATGCGGTACTAGAGCAACTCCAACGATGGAAGAGAGCGAGCTCGTCTATGCGCAAGTGCGTGGATTTGTGCTACTGAATTCAATATGCGGGCCTGTAGTATCGTTGGCTACAACCAGTACCGTATTGATGTGTACCACTACACGCAATACGTGCTCTAACTATGTTTGACTATGGTACACCTACGTTCAAATCTCCGCACCATTGGACCGTAGCGAGCTATCCGGTAGAAACCGGTTCCGCTAGAATTTCTTTTCGCTCTCGGCGGCACACCGTGCAAACTTCCTCTTGCGTCGTCAGGCGTACGTGGTCAATCATGGTGGTGTTGACGTGATCAACTGATCATTATTAAGCTCCCTCGCTCGCTCGCTAGTGGACCGAGTTGGCTTTGTTAGTCGCGTCTATCTAGAATTCAAGATCTTCTTGTTCTTAGTTTACGTCTGGGCATATACACTGAAGCATTGGACGCCTAAAAAGTCAAATGCATATGCATGTTACGCTCCACTAACTGCCCTTGCATGTGCAATGGAGCAATCACCGGCGGCAAGTCGTCCATGGCTGCTGCTTCTCTGCCTCGCCGCGGCGGCCACCGGCGGCGTACTCCAGGCTCCCGCCCAGCTTGACAGCAAAGGTATGCTCAAAACTTCAGCACCCTTTACTATGGCCGCACGCACGCGCCATTAACGGCTGCATGTAATGTGCGTATTGCAGGTTTCATAAGCGTAGACTGCGGACTACCGGGGAAGGCGAGCTACGTGGACGGCGGCACCAAGCTATCCTACGTCTCCGACGCCGGGTTCATCGATGATACCGCCGGCGCCAACCACAACATCTCGGGCCAGTACATTCGACCGCAGCTCTCGCGGCGCTACCACGACGTGCGCAGCTTCCCTGATGGCACGCGCAACTGCTACACACTCCGGTCCCTCGTGTCCGGTCGCAAGTACCTCGTCCGCGCGGCCTTCATGTACGGCGACTACGACGGCCTCGGCAGGCTGCCGGTCTTCGACCTCCACCTCGGCGTCAACTACTGGCACACCGTCAACGTCTCGACGCCCGGAATCGAAGTGACGGCGGAGGCCATCGTGGTCGTTCCGGACAACTTCGTGCAGGTCTGCCTGGTGAACACCGGCGCAGGAACGCCGTTTGTCTCCGCGCTAGAGCTGAGGCCGCTGAAGATGAAGTTCTACCCGCAGGCGAACCTGACGCAGGGCCTCGTCCTCGACGTCAGGCTCAACGCCGGCCCGACAGGTGCGACGGACATCGTTAGGTGAGCAAAAAATCTTGATCCGCTTGATTTCCTCTGCTTGTTCTAGATTTCCTCTCCATATACCAGTCACAAGCGTGGTTGACCATCAGGTACCCAGAAGATCCGCACGACCGAGTATGGCTCCCTTGGGTCACTGCGAGAGAGTGGAAAGAAATATCGACGACGAAGCAGGTGGACAGCGCCGACGACGACTACGAGGTGCCGTCGGCGGTAATGCAGACGGCGTTCATACCGCTCAATGCCTCCATGAACCTCGAGTTCACGTGGGACCCCGATCCTCGACCTCACGATCCTTCGCCGGGATACTTCATGATCATGCATTTCTCCGAGCTGCAGCTCCTTCCAAGCAACGCCCTGCGCCAGTTTGACATCAACATCAACGGCGTGAGGTTGTCCGATGACATTAGGCTATTCTACCTTGGGGTCGGTGTCATCTACAATGAAAAGCCCTACCGGGACAGTAACTACAACATCTCCATCAACGCCACCGCCAACTCGACATTGCCGCCAATCCTCAACGCCCTCGAGTTGTTCTCCATCATGTCGATGACAAACTTTGGCACGGACTCCGGGGACGGTACGTACATATGCAAACAAATGACACAAGCATATGAGTTAGCTGATGCTTTCCCTCCTTGCCAAATTGGAATGCATACGATTTTTTATATAGAAAACAAACATTTAAATCAAATGGTATTGTAAATGTTGATATGTTTTATTAACTTGGTCCACGTCTACAAAGTTTCACACTGAAAGAATTATATGCACTATAGAGCAAGGATGGAGTGTTTATTAAGCTGTTAATAATATGGGGTTAAGTCGCTTGTGCTACTAAAAGAATGGGTGTGGTTAACTGTAGTATCTGCCATCACGACGATCAAGGCGAAGTATCATGTGCTGAAAAACTGGATGGGTGACCCGTGCTCTCCCAAGATTATGGCCTGGGAAAAGTTGATGTGCAGCTACGACATTGGCACCCGTCCAAGGATCAGAAGCGTGTCAGTTTTTCAGATCTATACATTATATTGACCTATCACTTATGTTCATATATACGAGAAAAGCATGAATTATCGCATGTTAAGGGTATTATATGCAGTCAAATTGATCCAATTGATATTTGCTCTCTGTAGAAACCTGTCTTCCAGTGGTCTGAATGGTGACATATCGTCGTCTTTCGCGAATCTAAAGGCTCTCCAGTACTTGTATGTTCAGAGTTTGGGTCTCTTTGGCCTTCGTTTGTAGTTTAAAGAGATGAAATACGGTAAAAGGAATATTGATACAAGTCCATATCTTGCACTCTGCTTGTAGGGATCTGTCAAACAACAATTTGACAGGCACAATTCCAGATACTCTTTCGCAATTACCTTTGTTGAAGATTTTGTAAGTCTGGCAACTATTGTTCAATTGTGCTTTTTTTCCTTACATTACTCCCACTCCTGCAAATTATATTTTCTTCCTTCAGAGATTTGTCAGGAAATCAGCTCAGTGGCTCGATTCCCTCTGGATATCTCAAAAGAATTCAAGATGGCTCCCTAAATCTAAGGTTGTTAATTTACCCATAAATTATCCCGATTCTTCTTGCATGCTACTTGATGAATTTAATTGATTAACTTTTTTAATATTGTTTAGCAGATATGGCAACAACTCAAACCTTTGCACCAATGCCAATTCATGTCGACCTGCTAAAATGAAGAGCAAGCTGCCCATATACATTGGTGCCCCTGCAGTTGTCATTGTGGTGATAGTATCAGTGGCACTAACACTCTTTTGCTTGTTGAGACAAAAAAATCCAGGTGAGACTTTGGCATATGAGCCAATCAATCATTGGTATATGTTTCCACATCAAATAGTACTAATGTTAATCATTAAATTCCCCACATACAAAAAGGATTAATGAAAAACTCCGTAAAGCCACAAAATGAAACGAGAAACGATGGGGACACATCACTTGGACTTGAGACTCGTCAATTCACGTACAATGAACTTGAGAGGATAACGAACAACCTTCAACAAGTGTTGGGAAAGGGAGGATTCGGTTATGTCTATGATGGCTTCCTGGAGGATGGCACTCAGGTGGCGGTAAAGATACGGTCTGAGTCTTCCAACCAAGGTGACAAGGAATTCCTAGCAGAGGTACAATTTATTATCTCACTGCACTTGCATTCCTCCTTGTCGTTTAATTCACTTATATTTCGAAGTCCTCATATTGCTTTAAATGTAAAATATAAAATATCAAGGTACATTTAACATAGTTTACTTTGTTTAAAAAATTATAAGTTTCTTGACATAGATTTTTACTATAAAACGATATCTATGAACTCATGTCTTCATCCCTACTTGTTCAGGTTCAAATTTTAACCCGGATTCATCACAAGAACCTTGTCTCCTTGATTGGTTTCTGCAAGGATGGGGAGCACATGGCACTTGTTTACGAGTTCATGTCAGAGGGAACTCTGCAAGATCACATTGTAGGTACGCAAGTTGTTTAACGCAATATATTCAGCTGCTAGAAGGTGACTGGTGTAGCGTAAAGCACTGTGAGCTGATAGAGTGTACATGTTGTTTATCTATTGAATCGTCTGAATAACTGATTGGTCACAATGTCGGCATGTATGTAGGAGGAGACCGTAACGCAAGATGCTTAACCTGGAGACAGAGACTTAAAATTGCAGTTGAATCCGCACAAGGCAAACACTTATATTGCACCTTTTGTCTCTTTATCGAAAAAAGCACTTAAATGCATAGTCGGCAACTACTTTTGCCAAATGATTGTTTTTTTAATCCTCAGTGTTCATATACAGGACTGGAGTACCTACATAAGGGGTGCAATCCACCTTTGATTCACAGGGATGTGAAGGCCACAAACATCTTATTGAACACGAGGTTGGAGGCCAAGATTGCCGATTTTGGATTATCGAAAGCTTTCAATCGCGACAATGAAAGCCAGGTGTCCACGAATGTGATCGTTGGCACACGCGGATATATGGATCCAGAGTAAGCCAACTCCTTCCACCATGCTCCAAAATCTTTCTATAGAGTTCCGTGCTCTGAGTATTTGGTGGAGCTGAAACATTTGCTTAGGTACCAGACAACAGGGAGGCCGACAACCAAGAGTGATGTGTATAGCTTTGGCGTCGTGCTATTGGTGCTTGTCACGGGAAAGCCACCCACCTTGCATAACCTACGAAGCATCGGCATCATTGAGTGGGTGCAACAACGGTTATCGAAAGGCAACATCGAAGGCGTGGTGGATGTGCGCATGCACGGTGACCACGACATCAATAGTATGTGGAAGGCCGCTGATATCGCCCTCAAGTGCACTGCACATGCGTCGGTGCGGCGCCCCAACATGACCGATGTTGTGATGCAACTACAGGAGTGCCTCAAGCTAGAGGAGGACCACACCGGCAGCAACTCCAACAACAACTTCTACACTGGCATCAGCAGCAACGACCTAAGCATGAGAAATGATCCTTACCCTACTAACCAGTCCACGAATGTGAGCCAGAGCAACACTTCATTTGAAAAGGAACATAATTTTGGGAGGGTGCCAACAATTGACAACGGTCCTGCTGCCCGATAAGCAAGACTTGTTGATCATGTACCGACGCCAACTGGTTATCTATGTTGGAGTTGCTGTGTGAAATCATTGTAATCATTTTCTTTGTGGTATCTCTGTGTTTATTGATGTTATGTGACCAAGTTTTCCACTAAAAATTGTATATTAAACCAGTAACTTATTGAATTGCTAAATCTAATTATAGACTTTCCTGAAATTAAAGTCAAAAAATAGAAATTGTGATCTTGATTGTGTGTTGATCGAATTTCTTCTTGTAGATATACTATTAACTTAACCCCTTGTTTCGATATCTCGCAGTTGGATAACCACTGGATAAGAGCTAGCTTTATTAAGCGAAGCTTTTTCTGCCAATATGGTGATCTTCTTCTTCTTCTCCTTCTCCATAGACAAAGCTAATTTACATATCTTCACCAACTCATTTCTAAGAGCAGTTTCAACTCTCTCAATGGAACATTCTAAATTATCAGTAACATCTCAACCAAAAGAATACATGTATATTGGCATTGTAAATTTTGATTGCTGTATATACAAGAGCACAAGCTCACCGGACAAGAAATTGCCACCTTGCAATAACCAACAAAGAGCAAATTACATGTAGCAGGTAACCAACGACAGAGTTGACGAAGGATTGACTCGGGACTCCGGAGTAAACAGTTACCCCGTAAGAGCTGATTAAAGGGCGCCCAATTGAGTAAATTGGCGTCCTAGCCGGCCGGATTGCCTCAACTTGTTGTGTGTCTCAACTCTCAAGCATGGTCCCAAATCAATTGCATGTGTGCCTCAAGTCTCAGCTGCATAGCGTGTCTCGCAAACCAGCCTGTGGTTGAATGGTTAGGAGGACAGTGGCATCGCCAATCCATCAGGGTTCAAGTCTTAGATTTGACATTGGTGCTCACGTTATTTACGGATTTATTTCAGGCTTCTGAGGTGTTCGTAAGTATAGGGGGTGTCCATGTGTGCATTCACAGGGATGAGTGTATGCTTGTGTATATGAGCGACTTTGATTGTACTGTGTTAAAAAAAACTACATAGCGTGTCTCCGCTACATAGCGTTTGTCAAGTGCATCGTTTACTTCAATTTTCTACTACACAATAAACGAACACAAACGTGCTGACAAACCAACCCTGCATCAAGTCAGTCGTCTACTAAGGCTAAGGCCGCACTAATAATGGTACCAGCTTGCAACCAGCGGCAGCGCGAGACAGTCGACAAACTATACAGCTCTCGATCAAGTCAACTGCACTCTCTAGTCGTCGCCAAACTAGAAGATAATTTTGCAGGCTAAGTGGCCATGTGATGTGTCTATTATACCACTGGCAAGCGTGTGAACCTAAGCTTAAGGCTGAGCACATACTGTATATAAATGGATAGTACTATACTTCGTACGTGGAGCATCTTGTGCTAGTTACTTGTTGCTGGGTTGGTGGCATGTGCGCGCGGAGTAGGATGGACCGGCGACCGATGGCTGCCCGTTCGTCGTTGACGCTCCTGCTCAGCCTCGCCGCCGCCGCCGGCGGCGTACTTCAAGTTCGCGGCCAGCGCGCGCCTAGCATCGAAGGTGAGCTTAGAAGTATTATCATATGCATCGAAGGTGAGCTTTGAAGGTGAGTTCACAATTATTACCATCATGGCTGGTTTGTTTCCGCTGGCTAGGAATGTAGCTAGAGCACGTAGTGCGTTTATTGCTTCTTTTGTCAAACCTATATCCGCGCTCACATTGAGCAAATAATGCAGGTTTCATCACCATCGACTGTGGCCTGCCGAAGCATAGTAGCTACGTGAACAACCGCACCAAGATACCCATCACCTCGGACGCCGGCTTCACGGACGCCGGCTACAACCACAACATCTCCACCGAGTACGTGAGGCCTCAGCCCCAACTCTCCAAAAACTACCTCAACGTCCGCAGCTTCCCCGACGCGGTCCGTAGCTGCTACACGCTGCCGTCCCTCGTGCCGGGGTCCAAGTACCTGCTCCGGGCCTTGTTCATGTACGGCAACTACGATGGGCTCGACAAGCTCCCCATCTTCGATCTCTACCTGGGCGTCAACTTTTGGTGGAGGGTGAACATCTCGAGAGCCGAGGAATCGGTATTGGCCGAGGTCATCGCCGTGATCCCGGACGACTCGGTGCAGGTTTGCCTGGTGAACATCGGGTTGGGGACGCCATTTATCTCGGAGCTGGATCTGAGGCCTCTGGAGAACACGCTGTATCGGCAGGCCAACGCGACACAGGGGCTTGTCCTGATCGACAGGCGCAACATGGGCGACACGGGCAACTTCGCCATTAGGTAGGCATACTTACTGGTAGGCCTGGGTGCAGAGAACTGATTGTTCCATTTGGTCCTAACGTGTTCTGTGGTCAGGTACCCGGACGACCCATACGACCGGGCTTGGTTACCGTGGAGCAACCCGAAGCTGTGGCTGGACATCTCAACCAAGGAGAAGGTCCAAGAGAATATCGGCAGCCTCCGCCTCCACGCACCATCTGCCGTGTTGCAGACTGCAGTCACGGCGCTCAACGACTCCGAGTCCAAGACCGTCGAGTTGTCATGGAAGACGGAGCTGGACCACGTCGACCGAATGCTCGGGTACACATTTGTACCACTTTTTTTTTTAACTCTACACTTATAGTAGATAACAAGCTTTCATATACTACAGTTACACTATAATCCCTCCATTTCAAAATATAAGGTGTATTAGCTTTTTCAAAAGTCAAACACGTGTTTGTTTGACCAAGTTTTTAGAAAAAAAATCAACATTTACAGTAGCAAATTTATGTCATTAGATATATCATGGAAAGTATTTTCATATTTTATTTATTTTGTATTGTAGATGTTGATATTTTATTTTATAATCTTGGTCAAACATTCATAAATTTGACTTGCATGGAAATCAATACATCTTATATTCTAAGATTGAGGGAGGATAAACTAATGAGAGCAACGCCTGCTATAGATGTGTTGCCATCTTGTATTTCGCCGAGCTGCAGATCCTTGCCGGCAATGCCGTTCGCGAGTTCAACACAATTGTCGACGGCGGACCCAACCTCCCGTACAGGCCCGAGTACCTCGTTGGCGATGCCTTGTACAATGCTGAACCCCACAAGTGCTTAAGCCAGTACAACATCACCTTGATCGCCACAAAAAACTCAACACTGCCGCCGATCATCAACGCCTTTGAGTATTTCTCCGTCATCTCTACAGCCAACGTCGGGACCGACCCTCAGGATGGTAAATATCTGCGGGTCCTTATTAAGTTTCACATATAGGATATCAATCATCTATGCTGGTTGATTAGTACATTTTCGCGATAATGACAGACCCGCATGATCTCTGATTACTGCACTTCTTAATTTGTCTTGTGTGTTACTGTCGGCAAAAAAAAAGTTTCTGCCATCAACGCAATCAAGCTTAGGTATCAGATGAAAAGGAATTGGATGGGTGACCCGTGCGCTCCGAAGACTTTTGTGTGGGATGGGTTGACCTGCAGCTATGTTATACCTGGGCGTCCAAGAATCACAAGCATGTAAGTTCAAATTTAACTTGCGATCATGCACAAGAAATCCCTTCAAAATGAGGAAATGCACACATGTCGTCTGAACCATTGTGTGATCTTACAGAAATATGTCATCGGGCGGTTTGAAAGGCGAGATATCATCTTATTTCGCTGATCTCAAAGACATCCAATCCTTGTAAGTAGGAAATTTATGTCCATTTTCACAATAATTCTGCTAGGGAATAGGTTCACATAATTGTATGCTTTGCCACCTTATTTCAGGGATCTTTCATACAACAAACTGACAGGATCAATTCCTAATGTTCTTGCACAACTACCCTCTCTCGTGTTGTTGTAAGCGACTTTGAATTATATGCCGTCTTTGATAACTAATATCTGTTTGTTAGCAATGTTTTGATGCCAACTTTTTTGTCCATCTAGAGATTTGACAGGTAACCAACTTAATGGATCCATCCCCTCTGGGCTTCTAAAGAGAAGTCAAGATGGCACCCTAACTCTAAGGTTAATCCATCATATCTTACATATATGTGCACGCCATTTAGTTCTCTGGTCGTTACTTTGATATTTGCCTGGTCAAAATTGCTAATGGTCTCTTCTTTTTGATAGATACAACAAAAACCCAAACCTTTGCATCAACAAAAACTCTTGCCAGCCAACAAAAGGGGAAAACAATTCTAAGATTGTCATCTATATTGTTGTTCCGATAGTTGCGGTTGTTGTGATTGGAGCACTTGTAGTACTTCTGATTCTCATAGTGAGAAAAAAGAAAGGTGAAACACATCAATAAAACTACATTAATAGTTCTGCATTACTGCACCAAAGCAAGCAACAATGGGTAATACTAGTTTGGTTCTTGAATTTTGAAGGATCTACAAAGAGCAACAAACAACAAGACCGTCAACACCTGGACAACCACCGATTCACATACAAAGAACTAGAGACCATAACAGACAACTTCAAGACAGTGCTTGGCCAAGGAGGGTTTGGAACTGTTTATGATGGCTTCTTGCAGGATGGTACCCAAGTTGCAGTCAAGTTACGGTCTCAATCCTCCAGTCAAGATGTAAGAGAGTTCTTGACAGAGGTAAAGTGTTATCAACTGTAACCAGAGCATGGTGTATCGACATATTAGTCAAAAAAAGACATATTAGTCAAGTAAATTTAATAAGCCAATTTTAGAAGCTTTGCCATTTTTCTTCCTATTCTTGCTCAGGCTCAGACAATAACGAAGATCCATCACAAGAATCTTGTATCATTAGTTGGTTATTGCAAGGATGGGATATATTTAGCTCTTGTCTACGAGCATATGTCTGAAGGAAATCTAGAAGATAAACTCAGAGGTATTCTAGTCCGTCTGTAAGAAGAGCATACGGTATCTCTGTCTCATGTTACACACTACTAACGTCAACCAAACTTTTACAGGAAAGAACGACAAGGATGTATCCTTAACCTGGAGACAGAGGCTCTGCATCGCACTGCAATCCGCACAAGGTATACTTTAATCCGGATTATGGTCTTCCTTTCGTTGTTGTCGATCTCTATGCTTTGCTAGAGTTTAACATATGTTGATGTGTGACTGATATATCATCTCTGTCGAATATGATGTGCACACAGGGCTTGAGTATTTGCACAAGTCATGCAGCCCACCCTTCGTGCATCGTGATGTGAAGACATCAAACATCCTACTGAATAAAAATCTTGAGGCCAAAGTGGCTGACTTTGGCTTGATGAAGGCTTTCGGTAAAGAAGATGATACACATATATCCACGGTGCGGGTGATTGGCACAAGAGGCTACCTTGCCCCTGAGTAAACACTAATACCTAACTTATTAATATTTCCGTTGCCTGCTTGCCAACCATTTGGATTAGTATATCTTTGTTGTGACTGACTCAATGAATTGTGATGCAAATGCTTGCATCGCATGCTTATTATATGTACATACACAGGTATGCAGCAGCCTTGCAACTGAATGAAAAGAGCGACGTATATAGCTTCGGTGTCGTGTTACTAGAGGTAATCACAGGACAACCCACCATCCTTGAATCTACGGAGGTCATCCATATCGTCCAATGGGCACGAGTTCACCTTTCGGGAGGCAACATCGAGGAAGTGGTGGACGGCCGAATGCAAGGCGACTTCAATGTGAATGGCATGTGGAAGGCCGTGGACCTAGCGCTCAAGTGCACCGAGCATGACCCCACACAACGACCCACAATGACGGATGTGGCTGCCCAGTTGCAATACTGCCTCGAGTTGGAGAACGAAGATCAAAACAGAGGCGATGCTAACAATAACTTCCACATAATGAAAGATAGCAGTCGTGACCGTGATCTACCGATGATGTAAGGCTAGGCACCATTTCATTTCACATGGTCAATGTTATTTGTTGGTAGGGCGCCAATCATGATCATCAGTCATGCACTCTTGGTGCGTGATAAACATTCGATGTATTATTCACTAGGGATTTTTCTACATTAATCCCAAACTTGTTCTTTGGTGACACTAAAAGATTTTATGTTTCATTTTGACCCATCTTCATCGAACCTAGTCCTAAACTGAGAGAAGTGCCTTCTCATGGTGAACGAAAGTATGTTTCTTGGTCATAAAATTTCTGAAAAAGGTATTGATGTTGATAGAGCTAAGATTGAAGCTATAGAAAAGTTTCCATGATCACTATGTACAAACCACATGTAAATTTTAATTTTGAGTGGTACTTCTGTTTTCCAAATGTGTTTTGAAGCAAAGTCAACGTTATTTGTTGAGATGGCGCCAACCATGATCACTAGTCATGCACTCTTGGTGCATGATAAACATTCATGTATTATTTTCTCAAATTAAGGATTTTCTACATTGATTCCGTAGTTCTTTGTTTGACACTAAAGGTTTGCGATTTCACATTCGACATTTTCCATTGAACATGTTTTATTTCTTGGAGTTGTCGTTAGCTCAAACATTATTTCATGAATGCTCAAACATGTTTAATTGATTCATGACCTAAATACCCTAGCAAGTATGGTGTGGTTATAGTGATCGAGAGTCATAGTTTCACTTCTGGTTTCTTAGGCTCTGTTTGGTTACAGGGACTAGACTAGAAAAAGTCCCTTTTAGTCCCTATACCATAACCAAACAGGAGGGACTTTTTCTTTAAGGACTAGAAAAAGACTCTATTGTTGGAGGATCTTTTTTCTTTAGTCTCTAGGACTAAAAAAAGTCTGGTCCCTTGCAACCAAACACCTCCTTAGTGTGCAAGAACATGTCAGTGTTCTCGCAATAGGATTGGGACATTGGTGACAATTTCTTTAGCGATAAGAAAATTTGGAGCTATGTTACCTGAAAAGTGCGGCAACATATATTTGCACTCTATATGTCAAGAAATATCCTTTAAAACCGCGAAGAGAGAGAAAGAGAGAGAGAGAGAGAGAATATAGATGAACTGAACGACAAAGTCTTCATCACGTGACATCACCCTCACAGCAATATGCTCCACGCCTCCTCAAATCATGTGATGTTCCTCTAGCTTGAGACACTCTTGTAGTTGTGCTACCACCTCGGTCATCGTGGGTCGCTGAGTAGGAGCTTGCGCAGTGCATTTGAGCGCGACGTCCGTGACCTTCCAGACACTATTGATATCATAGTCACCTCGTATGCGAATGTCTGCGACGTCTTCAATGTTGCCTTCTGCAAGGTGTTGTCGAACCCATTGGATGATATTAGTTGGTTCTGGGCATTGTAGGATGGGTGGTTGCCCCGTTATAACTTCCAACAACACGACACCAAAGCTGTATACGTCACTTTTCTCAGTGAGCTGCAGGGCTGCCGCGTACCTTCACGCAAGCCGATACATGGTATATTAGATGTGCTTTCACTATGGTTGATCACATATGATTGGTTAATTAATACACTCAAAATTGTAAGCAAAAGCAAGTAGAAGATAGTATGATGTCTTTTACTCAGGGGCAAGGTAGCCGTGTGTGCCAACCAGCCTGGCTGTGGATACATGTGTGTCACCATCCTGATTGAAAGCCTTGAGCAAGCCAAAGTCAGCGACCTTGGCCTCGAGATTCACATTCAATAGGATGTTTGATGTCTTTACATCCCGATGCACAAAGGCTGGGCTGCATGCAACGTGTAGATATTCCAGCCCTGTAAGAACATCGCACCAATATGATGTCAACAACAATTACATTACCAAGTTGCGATCATGTAAAATTTGGCTTCCAACGAAACAAATAGATGGAAATTAGCAACGAAAAATTAAAGAACAAGTTTCACATCGGAAGAATACCTTGCGCGGACTCCATTGCAATACGAAGCCTCTGCCTCCAAGTTAAAGATGTACTATTGCTATCTTTCCCTCCAAAAGATAGAAGAGCACTTATTAGTATGATGATGGGAGTACCCAATAACTCAAACTGTTCCACGCAGAAAAGAAGAAGAAGAGATAACTCAAATGGTACGAAGTGAGCCGGCCTAGCTCCCTTGATTACTTGGCTGAGAGACTAGATATTGGAATCATCAATTCCTCATGGGCATTAATTTAGGTTCATATTCATACTGTAAAGGTTTTCGCTAGAGTTTTATTTGAGATAAAAACCCCACTAAATGCACATAATCAAATAGCACACACCTCTAAGTTTGTCCTCGAGGTTTCCTTCAGACATATGCTCGTAGACAAGCGCCATGTACTCTCCATCTTTGCAGTAACCAACCATGGATACAAGATTTTTATGGTGAATCTTTGTCAAGGTCTGAGCCTGAGCAAAAGAACAGAAGAATTGTTTACACATAACAATTCCTTACAAAACTTCCCTTGAACCGGTGATGAATGGCACCTACCTCTGTGAGGAACTCTCTGACGCCTTGCCTCGAGGACTCAGACCGCAGCTTGACCGCCACCTGCGTACCATCCGGCAAGAAGCCATCGTACACGGAGCCAAACCCTCCCCGGCCGAGCACCGTCTTGAAGTTGTTCGTCATGACCTGCAGGTCCTTGTACGTGAACCGGCGGTTGTCCAGCTGCAGCAGGCTGTGCGTGTCGCCGTTCCGCGACTGCGAATGCACGCCACTAGCCTCGTTCTGTGGCTTCACACTGCCCTTTCTTGATCCTTCATTCGGTGATCAGTGAGACAGTGACAAGAAACTGTAAATATTATCCAGTCCAGTGCTGCTTGCAGTTGCAGTTGATGTTTGTTTTGACACCTTGTCTCACCTTGCTTTTTTCTCATTATGAGAAGTAGCACTGCCAGTGCTCCTATCACCACAACTGCAAGTATTGGAACAGCAATGTACACGGCAAGCATGGATTTGCTATTCTTTTTGGTGGGCTCGCAAGAGCCGCCGTTGCTGCAAAGGTTTGGATTTTTGCCGTATCTGTCAAAGAGAAGAAACTCTCAAACTTAAGTGATTTTGGCCAGGATCAGGGGAACTAACGGAGAAACGATTGGTTCACCTTAGAGTTAGGGAGCCATCTTGCATTCTCTTCATAAGCCCAGAGGGGATGGATCCATTAAGCTGGTTGCCAGTCAAGTCCCTAATAAGGACCAAATTGCATTCATAAGTTCAAGTTGTAGTAGAATATTCAGGTTAAAGTTGAAATTAGGCAACAAAACTATTTGATATCAAAGTCAACATAATTGTGGAGTTCAAGATTCCTTACAGCACCACGAGGAAGGGTAGTTCTGAAAGAGCGTTAGGAATTGGTCCTGTAAAGTTGTTGTATGACAAGTCCCTGAATAAACAAACATGCACACGGCACGTTAGCTTAACTCACTGAGGGCCTCTTTGATTCGCAGTATTTTCAAAGTGCAGGAACAGGAAAAATGTTATCCCAGGTGACGGTAAGGCCGACTGATTCGCCTTTTCGAAAAGGACTGATGAGAGTGAAATCAGTCTTCTTCAACATGACAAAATTTGTAGTTGGAATGGTACTACCACGAGATTCTGAGAGGATACATGGCTAGGGGAGACGCCCCTTGCACTCCAATATCCTTCTCTCTATAATATTGTTCAGCGAAGAGACACTTATGTTGCAACAATATTACAGTCCAATCCTCTTAATATTCAATTCAGGAGAAAGTTAGCGGGAAACCGTTGGGAAGCTTGGCTCCATCTTGTGAGAAGATTGATGGATGTTCATCTATCTCAACAGCCCGATCAGTTGCGCTGGAAACTAACTAAGAATATAGAGTTTTCTGTTAAATTCATGTATTTGGATGTTATCAACTCTAGCTCTATTCCTCGTTCGAAACATGTTTGGAAAGTCAAAGTGCCTTTAAAAATTAAAGTGTTTATGTGGTTTGTCCATAAACAAGTCATTCTAACTAAGAACAATGTGGCAAAACACAACTGGACAGGATCTATAAGATCTAGCTTCTGTGATCGTGATGAATCCATCAAACACCTCTTTCTTGACTGCCCATTGACAAAAAAATTTGTGGCGGTCGATCCACATAGCATTTAATATTACTCCACCGAATACTATCAACACGTTATTTGGAATATGGCTAGATGGGATAGATTCAGAAACATCGAGACATGTCCGTGTAGGAGTATGTGCTTCATTATCAGCAGTTTGGAGCTGCAGAAACGATTTGGTTTTTAACAGAACAATAAATATTCATTTCTTGCAGGTTATTTTCCGGGTCACTGCCTGATCTGTATGTGGTCGTTACTCACTCCGACGAAGGCCAGAGAGCGTATGGTTACTGGATCTATCTGATGGGAGACAGTAGCACGGACTATCTTCAACCGGTTTGGATGGCGGTCATGTAATAGGATAGGCGTTTAGTGTTTCTTATCTTATTTTTTGCCGGCCGGTTGTGGCTATCCTGTTATTTGTGTATGCTCTTTGTGAGCCCTTTTCCTTTTTGAGATCTGAAGACTTTTGTTGAACCTTTTGCCTATTAATAATATGGCCTTATGCATCGCTCTGATGCAGAGGCCGGGGGATAACCCCTTTTTGAAAAAAAAGGAACAGGAAAAATGCAGGAATGGAGTGTCATGTCCTCTTATATCTTATGGGAGTTGGAGAAGTGTTTTATAGCACAGAAAAAACAAAGGAATTCTACAAACAAGTTTGAGTGGATGAAAGTTTCCTTCAAAATGTAGTACAAATGAATCCTATGAAAAAAAATTCTAAGGATTTCAATCCTACAAATCAAACGACCATCACAGGAAAAAATCCTAAGGATCCAAATCCTGTAAAAATCCTATGAAATTCCTTTCATCAAAGGAGCCCTAAGTTGATTGTCAAAATGGATGTAAAACTTCCTACTACTTACAAATACTTGATTGCTTTGAGGTTGGCGAAATGGGTTGGTATGCCGCCGCTCAAACCGCCAAATGACATATTTCTGCAGAAACACACACAAATGGTTCACTGATAGACACAGCACGGTCACCTTTCCTTGTGAAAATTAAGGTCAAACTTACAATCTTGTGATTCTTGGAGGCATAGAAATTGCATAGCTGCAGTTCAACCCATCCCACACCAGAGTCTTGGGAGCGCACGGGTCACCCGCCCAGTTCTTCTTCACCTCATACTTGGCGTTGATCGCAGCCATGGCCGCAACTGTCAAAAAATTCAGTTGCACAAGACAGAGATCAGTTATAGATCAAAAATGTGCCTACCCATTGATACTATTACCGTGAAAATTCCATTTACCATCCTTGGCGTCCGTGGCGACGTTGGCCGTGGAGACGACGGAGAAGAACTCGGCGGCGTTGATGGTGGGCAGCAGCGTGGAGTTGGCCGTGGCGTTGAGGGTGATGTTGTAGTGGCCGCCGAACCCCCGGTGGGCCTCGCTGTTGAAGAAGGCGTCGCAGACGAGGTGCTGTGGCGTGAAGGGGGCCTTGCTCCACAGCTTGCCGTTGAGGTGCGTCTCAAACTGGCGCACGTCGCCCCCGGCCACGGCCTCCAGCTCCGCGAAGTAGACGATGCCGATGACCCCGGGGTCCGGGTAGGCGTGGCTCGGCGCGGCGTCCCACGACAGCTCGATGGTCCTGGACGACGCCGACCTGGAGCCGTTGCGCGGCGTGATGGCGGCCTGCATCACGGCGGACGGCGCGTTGAAGCGGGGGTCGGCCAGCTCCTTCACCTTCTCCGTCGTCGAGATCTCCGTCCATTCATTTGAGTCGATCTCGCTCCACGGAATCCACACGCGGTCGTACGGGTCCTCCGGGTACCTGACCAGCGCGGCGCCGCTGACGCCGAAGTTGGTCCGGTCGACGAGGACCAGCGCCTGCGTCGCGTTCGCCTGCGGGTACAGCGTGTCCCTGACGGGCCTCAGGTCGAGCGCGGAGATGAAGGGCGTCCCGGAGCCGGTGTCCACCAGGCAGACCTGCACGGACTCGTCAGGGACGACGGCGATGATCTCGGCCAGCTGCGGCGTGTCGGCCTTGGTGATGTTCACAGTCCGCCAGAAGTTGACGCCGAGGTGGAGGTCGAAGACGGGGAGCCGGTTGAGCCCGTCGTAGTTGCCGTACATGAAGGTCGCCCGGAGCAGGTACTTGGACCCTCGGGCGACGGTGGACGGGAGCGTGTAGCAGCTCCGGGCCACGCCGGGGAAGCTGCGGACGTTGAGATAGCGTTTCGACGAGCTTGGCTTGATGTACTCTGGGGAGATGTTGTGGTTGGTGCCGGCGTCGGTGTAGCCGCCGTCCGGGACGTACGGTAGCTTGGTGGCGGCGTCCACGTAGCCGCCTGCCTGCTCCGGCAGGCCGCAGTCGATGCTGACGAAACCTTCGCGTACGTGCGTATACGCTAGCTCAATACACTGACATGTGATGAAACAGCGTAATTCAGAGGTGTTAATTAGTTAAGCTCACCGGTGCTGTCGGGCGCGCGCTGGCCGCGAACTCGGAGCACGCCGGCGAGGCCGAGGAGGAGGAGCAGCCACGACCGAGCCGCCATTGGTCCCTGCGTTGATCGCTCCATTGTGCTAGGTAAGCACATCTGCACATGCCGCGCGCAGCTAAACTGGGACGAAAATACTCGTACGTTACACAAAATTAAGTAGCTAGGTCATGCCTAGTAGCATTGCTCCATGCCATGTACCCACTGAGGCGAAACGGAGACGAATCTTAATTCTTTGACTCGGTAAACTACAGTACGTATGATTAGCCAGTGGTACATCTTGCACATGCAGCTGCTCCCGATCGACGGCGCCGCGGTGTCAACGGTGCAAATGCATGCATGCATGCTTGCTTGTATTGTATGGACTAAGCCTGTACCATGCATTCACTAGATTAACCCAGAATTTTTCAATGGCTAACCAGCAAAGAGAAAATTACAAGTAGCCATTGCCAGCATTCCAAGGATCACAAGCTAGGGCTGCAAACTCTCCTTGTTCCCTCTACTTTGATGCGCATGAAACGGGCCAAGTATAAAACTGCTTTGCCATGCATAAGATGTACACCTTGGCTGTAAAAATAAATAAAACAGGTTTATCGTCGGCACCTCAAACTCGCACATATTCACGTGAGCGCTTGTGGGCAACATGAGACTAGCTAGCTATGTGTGCTTTTAATATTTTAGAGAACAAAGGGAGAGTCCACCTTGTATCTTGATGCACATCTCCTTCCGGTAGCCGGGTGGGACTAAAGCATTCACATGAACCAGCTCAGCAAACACGACGAGGCCAGGTTCGACAGTTGTGGTAGAGAACTCTAACTGTGGTAAGAGGAAACGACTAATCTTAACTCCTCATGTTCGACGAATACTCCCTCCGTTCGAAAGTACTTGTCGAAGAAATGGATGTATCGAGACATATTTTAATTCTAGATACATCCATATTTATGTATTTCTATGACAAGTAATTCCGGACAGAGGAAGTACTTAGTTAACACTTCCGTTAAAGGTAATACGGTCATTTGTGCGCTTGTAGTCATCAATACAACATAGAAGATACTCCTATATTTCATATTGTTTATATTTCTATATTTATCCTTTGGGCGCATGCATTTATTAGCCGGTCGATTGTGTGCGTAAAGGGTAAAGCTATTTTTTCTCTAAAGAATAAGTTGTATAAATTGCCATGCTAGTTCTTGATTCCGTTCCTTTGTATAAGTACAAAGTAAGAGGTTGATTCTAAATCAAAATCAATATACAACAAGCCCGGTTTAAAATAAATCTTACTATTGACATTGTTTAAGCAATCAAGAATAAAAATAGAATCCTGAATAAGGAGCTACAATACTCAATAAATGGAAATTCGGGTTGAAGTCCACAAGAGATATGACAATGCTATGACAGATGAATCAGAACAGTTGAGCCATAGGTCCTTCCAACAAATTATGTACCATCTGCTGAGTCAGTTTGTTTGGGGTGGTCATTCCTGAACCAGAGAATCCAAATGGGGGGAACTGGCATTGATGCCGTCGTAGGCGAGCGGAGCGTACATCCACATTTCATCAGAGCTCAAGAGCTATGCATCAAAAAGATGGGAAGAACTAAGTGGCACGCACTCGCACACTGACAATTGAAATATTTGTGCATCTGTTGCTTTATAAGTGAATACATACCTTGATCTGCATATGCAGAAACTTGACATACTGGACTGCTTGCTCCAACATTGTGCTTATGTCAACCTGAAAAAGCAAACGCTCAACACAATTAGCATTGGCAGGTGCAAATGAAGAATGAATGGCAAATAGTAAGAATTCACCTTTGTGCTGTTAGGGATCAGGTGCTGCAGTACTCTTAGCCTCTCGTTGATCTTATGCCTTCTTCTCTGTTCCAAAATTGCACATGGTGATAAAATGTTTAATAAGAGATTCCCCAAAAGGGAAACAAAGATAATAATATGTAAGTAACTATCAAACCTTTGCATAGTTGCTTTGTGAGACCATTGCAGCTCTTGATTTGTTACCACTCTTCCTTGGGGCCTAGAGAATCGATTGCTATCAAAAATAAATAAATAAGGAGTAGAATTAATTATAATGATAAAATTGACCAATTGTAGGCCTTCACTTACCGAGAGAACCGCAGGGACTTCATTGTGATGGTCGCTCTGCTCATCCACTTGCATCTTTCTCTTGATACCAATGTCCCTCTCATTTGCCGAACTGAGGTCATCGACTTGGAGATCAAAAGATGCATTTGTGCTATCATTTTTGGAGGAGCGGAGGTTTGCATCAGAATCACTGCCACACCAGAGCACTGACTGCAAATGTGCAATCATCTCCGACTCCTCACAGATTGCATCGAGAGAACCCCAACAAGATGCACATTCTGCCTCCTCCATTTCTTCTGATCTCCGAATTCTCTTGTGCGGTATGGTTATGAGAAATCCTTTGGTTAGTACTGAGCATACCTAGGAGCGTGCTTATATATACCTTGAGGAGCAGAAAGTCTTTGTTATTGACATTACATGGATTTGACTTAGATTAACAACAATCTTTCAAGAACAATAATGCAGAAGAGAAAGACTCGAAGAGCATAGATAATATTTGATTCAACGTGTTGGGAAGTGGTAGCCCGTGGGAAGTCATAAATGCTATGGTGTAGAATACTATGTTTGGTGTGGTGCATGAATCATAATTACTGGATTAGTCAACGATGCTTATGTATGACAATAAGGCAGCATCTCAGACTAATGAACTTTGGCTGGTGTAACGCATGTATCATGACCCCACAGTCCAGATTTTCTGTCTTACTCCCTCGGTCGTTTTTACTCCGTGTATTAGATTTGAGTCAAGTCAAACTTTGCAAATTTTGTCAAATTTATATTAAAAAATATCAACATCTACAATACCAAATATACATACTATAAAAATACATTTCATAATGAATCTAAAAATATTAATTTGGCATTGTGAAATGTTGATACATTTTCCTGTAAGTTTGGTATCTTTGACTTCAGACAAAACTTATATACAGACTAAAAAAGACCGAAGGGGGTATTATGTGGTAGCGAGGCCAGCCAGTTGTTTAAACAAGGTCAGAATCCAATTGATCAGGACGGTGCAGATCATGCAGCAGCCCCAGCACATAGATACAAACTGCCCTCTTAGCTGGGGTAGGCCATGAATTCGGTTTCTGCTTGGCTTTCTAAGACTTTGAGAATTAACGCTGCATTTGGTTCCTTTCTTGCAGTGCAATCGGGAAAGTCTCACGCTTTTTTAAAGACAACTAGACAATTGCCCGTGCGTTGTAACAGGAGTATAAACATTCTAGTGATTAGCCCGTGACTGCATGTTCATTATCATACTGATGCGCTAAAATCTTAGCAAGTTCTTGTATCCAATCCCCATGATTTACCTGCCATTTTCTTGTTAAGCACTTATTTGGTAAGAATTTAATGACTTACCAAACAAAATATGTTTTTATTTTGGCAAGTTAATAAAACACGAGACAATTGATTCTATCTTACGGAGAATGGATGGGAGAAAAATTAGAGATGAAGGAAAAAAATCAACGAGGAGAAGGAACGAGTGGAACGTATGTAAGGAAGGTTGGACGAAAGAGAGGTGAAACGGGAACCTTACGTTCTTTTTAAATAGTAGAGATAGAGATTTTGTGCTTGTAAATTGTGATCCAAAAGATCTTATATTCCTTTACAGAGTGAGTACACACGATGCATTGTAACATCCCAAATTTTCAATTTGGAATGTTATACATATGTCATCATATGCATATCATATTTTATTTGCATTTTGGTTTTGATCCTAGAAATTCTAAGCACCTCAAGGACCCATGGAGAGAGATGGGGATTTCATTTATTTTCATATTTGAATTCTTTTCTCAAATATTGGAAAGAGGATCATTTTTGTTTTAATTATTTTTCCTCTCCGAAAATATTTCCAATATTAAAAATAAAAGAGAGGAGATAATATGACTTCTCCAAAACAAAAGAAATATTGGAGGGAAAATGTTAAAATCAAATAATTATTTTATTTGGATTTTATTTGTTATTTTATTTGAATCAGAGAAAAGTTACGCATTTTTTTAAAATTGCATTTGAGGCCAAGAAAATGTTCACTATGTTCTAAATATTTAATTTAGACGGTGAAAATTGTTTTTGGCATTTGTAGAATTTTTTATATTATTTAGGATTTTTCCTTTTCGGCGGAATTATTTATAAAAGAATTTGCTCCCGACTGGGCCAACGGCCTAGCCGAGCGGGCCGAAGCCCAGCTGTCGCCGCCGCCTTCCCCACGCGGGAGCGCGCCGCCGCCGGACTCCACCTCGCCCCGCCGTCTTGCTCCCTCCCCCAAGCTGCCTCAGACCCCTCCCCCCCCGGCGCCCTCCTATAAGTACGCCGCCACCCCGCCGCCTCCCACCTCGTCCCGCCTCGCCGCCGCCGCACTTGCCGCCGCCGCCCGCGCTGCCGCTGCCACCGCTGCGCAGGAGCCCCGCCGCCTCGCCTCGCCGCCGCCGTTCAGATCCAGCCCGCCGCCGCCGGTTTTTTCGGCCATCCTGGTTTTTTAGAAACCCTAGTTTTGATTTTTGGATCGGTTCGGATTTTCTCCGGTTTTCTCGGATTAGGTTAAATAACGAACGTTCATTCGTTAGTTCGTTTTAACGAACTAATTCACCCGTTTTGCCTCTGTTAGCGAACGTTCACGCCGTAGTATTTTTCTTTTTATTTTATTTTTCGTCCAGGGACCTATCCACGATTATTTTTATCGTAGATTAGCCCCTGATCTTCAAACCCTCGCAACTTTTTAACCGTTCGTCCAAATCCAGTGAAACTAACGCCAAAATCTTTGTCTCGAGCCTCTCTTTCCGGTTAATCAACTTGAACATGGTTTTGACAATTTAAAATTTGGTTTCAAGAAGATTCGAATTCGAAGTTCTTTTGACCATAGTTTCAGTTCCGTAGCTCCGATTTGACCGATTCTTTTTGCAAATCGAATCTCTTCAGTTGAACTTTCAGAGTGCATCTTATTACTTGAGTTTTACCCTTGCATATGTGGTTGAGTGCTTATGTATGCTATTTTTTGTTTACGATA